TGTCTTGTGGAAAAGTAAACTTTGCAAAGAAAATGCAGCTTAAACTATCTTCTTGGTGCATATTTCAAAGAAGTGATTGACACCATGCATATTGGAAGCTTTTGATCATTGATGCAGAAGTTAAGTGAACAGGACATACAACTGTGATTAATTATTGACAAAAGTCATTCCCTTCATATGGACAGGCTGTAGTTAGATGGGGAGGTTGAGTTCACTTGAATTCCACAGTCGGCAAGTAATTCAAACAAGCCTCCAGTTGATCAACCTCGTACATGTGGTTCTATTTATTATGTAAATCTCTTCCAATACATTTAAATCAACATGCAGTAGTGGGGGTTGTGTTTCTACATCAGAATATGTTTGTGGGCTACACAATTTGTGCCTTGCATGCTGCAGTTGGATGCATCCAGCGCTTCATAGTCGTGCTGTAGCGTAGTCTTCTTTGTGTAAAGAAAAAGGCACGTCCTCAAGCGTGTTTGTCATGTTCTATCCTCAAGTATTTGACCTCCTCACCTTAACTTCCGTGGGTCTTGGGGTTAACTCGGAATAAATCACTCCTTTTTGAGGCATTTGTACTAGAACTAGGTTGGGTAGCTGGGTACTTCAGCCTCTGTGCAAATGATGGTGCATGAACCTCGTTTTGCTAGAGACCAGATGCAGTTTCATGACAAGTTCTGTTTAACTGTTGTTATTCCTTGTAAACATGCCAGGGTAAATTATACTGGGAAGGGATGATTACCTCATAGGTCTTCTAATGAGTTTGTTGTTGTTATTTTTCTTTAAAAAAAAAAAAACCCAAACAAACCTGTAATTTAATTGAAAACTGAAGATAATAGTACTGTGAAATTTTAGTTTAAATTAGTTGGTTGAGGTCAAGCTTTTTTTATCCGGCATGTTCTTGCAATAAAATGGTTTTTCAAATATTCAAGTATTTTGAACACTCAAAACCTATGTGTTTAGCAATAACCAGATACTTAACAAAGAGGAGAAGATAGCTTTGTCAATAAGTCCAGCATCTTGTTAGGATAAGCTTAATTTACATGTTTCTTACCTTCTAACTGGTTAGAGTTAAAATGCATGTATTTCCTGTGTTGAGGGCACCTGATGTCTGAGACAGTTTGGTTTTGGAAGGCCGTTGTGTGGGTTCCTGGTGCATTTCGGTGAAGGCAGGACCAAGCAGGAGGAATAAATCCATGCCCTTGGCCTGGATTGCTCTTCCTCCCTGCAACTGCTGTCTTTTGGCTTTGTCTTTTGTCCTCCTGGCTTTTTGGAAATCTACCTTTCATTGTCTTTCCTACTTGATTTATGCTTTTGGAATGAACAGATCTTACAAAATCATAGTTAAAGGTTGGTGTGGGGTTTGGTTTTTTTTTGAGTGACTGGGCTTCTGGTGTTGTTACCCTTGTGTGTCTACCCCTGGGCTTATGTAGATGTTCTGCAGTTCTCCAAGTCGGTACCAGTAGCCATGATCTGCTCGCTCGTCAGTCTTTACCATCTTCCGTGGTGGTGAAATCCAGTGCCTTCCTTCTGTCAAAGCACGTTGATGTGAATAGAGAGTTATCCCATTTTGTTGTGCACACATACACCCCTGCCGGTCAGGCCCAATGCTTGCCCCAACCCGATCCTGTTGTAAAGAAGAAAAAAAGTGGTATTGCAGAGCATCAGATTTATAAGTGCTAATGAGCTGATGTCTTTGCTGAAATCAGCACTTGAGTGTTTTCGTGCATTTGAAATAACTTTGAATCTATTTCTGTTCCGCAAGTGATGACCGAAATGACGAGTATGTAAAGTTACAGAAGCATCGGTTGGGAAATCGGTGTTTTATGCCCCCTCAAGAAGCGGGTCTTGGTATTGCAGAGCATCAGATTTAGAAGTGCTAATGAGCTGATGTCTTTGCTGAAATCAGCACTTGAGTGTTTTCGTGCATTTGAAATAACTTTGAATCTATTTCTGTTCCGCAAGTGATGACCGAAATGACGAGTATGTAAAGTTACAGAAGCATCGGTTGGGAAATCGGTGTTTTATGCCCCCTCAAGAAGCGGGTCTGTGCAGAAGGAAGGAACTGTTTGGTTTGCTGGCTTCTCGTTACAGTTGGTTCATTCTGATCTTGCTTGAGTTGGATGGGAATTTCTTCTCCTTGTCCACTACCCAAGTCAGCAATTGTGCAAAGCGAAGCCTTGTCAGCAGTTAGTTTACTGTCGGGACAAGTTAGGGAAGGGTTCCCTTCTGCGCAAGGCTAGAGCGGCTTTCTGGAGGTGGCGTTTGGATCCCTGCAGTTTTGGTGCTCTGCAGACTTCCCAGGGTCTGTAGGAGAAGCTCTGGGACCTGGAATGAGGCTGCTGCAGCAGTGGGTGTCTGCTCACTCTGCCCTCGGACAGCGTGAGAGGAGCCCAGGGCCCCGCTTGGCAGCCTGTTTGGGCACTCGTGTGCTCCGTGGCTCGCTGAAGGAAAAGCCTGCCTTCCCTCGGGAGGGTAGGGAGGAAAACATCTAGACCCCGTTGCGCTCCTGTTTGAGTGCCGTAATCCTAAGGCTCCTAGAGCAGATCTGGCTGGAGGCAGGAGAACGGGGCAGTGGGTGCTCAGGGTGGGTGTCTGTACCCTGGGAGAACCCTGTGTCCCTGCCCCTTTCAGCAGCGGGACACCTTGGGCTTGTCTCTGCTCTAAGCTGCCGTTGGTCTGCAGGAAAAACTCATCCTGCTCCAAGTGTTCTTGGCCGAGTGTCATCCGCTGTAGGAAGAGGGTGCTGCTGTAGCTGAGTCTTTGGCCTGACCTGGTGCAGCCTGTTCATAAGCTGATGTGGTAGTTTCCAAGTGGTGCAGCAAATACTGTGTTTTCCAGCTGCACTGAATTACTTTAAAAAGGAGGAATGTTTTTGGAGGACTGTGACAGCTCTTGAGACATGCCTTTCCCCACCCCCTCTCCAGCTCTCAAAGCACAGTTCATCCTTTGCCATCCTCTCTGTCCTCATCTTTCCCTTTCTTGGCTTGGAGCCTTTGTTTGGTCTGAGACTGATGATGTTTGACAAATGTTCGCCTGCTACTTCCACGTAAACAGCTCCGTGGGAGCTGGGCATGAGGTGGTAACTAGAAGGTGCTGTTCTTTTGGGCCATTCCATGGTGCTTCAAGCCAGTGTTACCTGTTGATGAATTTGTAATGTTTAGCTCTAATACACTTAGTTTTTTTATCCCAAGTGTATTTAGTAATCCTTGGTTTTCCTTCTGTGGTGAGAGATGCTGATATTTGCTTTGTGAAACAGTTACTAGGTAAAGGAGAATTGATGAGCAGTGGGCTGCAGGAAAACGACTGGTGTGCTGCTGCTTCCCAGTCAGACCTGACTAACCCAGGAGACTTGGTTTAACTGGTGCAGCCCCGCTCAGTGCAGATGTCAACCTGGGACTGCGATTTTGATCAGCTCACATTACTTCAGATGGTGCCACAGGGATCTAGTGACCATCGTGTCTCCTCCTGCAGCCGGAGTAACAAAAGGTTAACCCCAGCCTTCAGAGCATCCTAAACTGAGCCTTCCGTTTTCCTTCTTCTACTGGGTGAATGGGGGAGGCAAAGAGCATCCTAACCTGAGCCTTCCGTTTTCCTTCTCCTTCTACTGGGTGAATGGGGGAGGCAGCTCAAGGTTTTAGTATACCAAGGTCCTCTTTTTGAAGTGTTTTCATGTGAATACATGTCCTGCTAGGACACATCAACTTCTGTTTGTAGCTGAAATGTCAGGTGATGTGGTAAAGATGGAGAAGGCTTCCAAATTCATGGCTAGTATGACCTTGTAATGTCAAGCAAAACCACTATATTTAGTGGGGAAGAGAGATGCAGTGCAAAATGAAGTTTGCCGTGAGCTTGTTGGTAGTTAGGCAGGGGGAGAGAGTGCTTACAGGGGACAGTTTCTCAGGTTAGGGAGGGTACCCTCCGGGGAGGCCAATAGATACAGTGGAAGAGCCTTCATCCCCTCCTCAGGGGTGTCTCGAAGGGCAAGTCATGGCTTGCAAAACCTTTGTTTGCTTATGGACAACGTGGTTATGCCTAATTTTTCACCTGGGATTTCCTGTTCCCCTGGGAATAGACTCCCTAACACTGGGACTACGGCAGTGCCATGTAGTTACGGCGGAGTTGCATCTCGCCTGCTTGGTAGAAGCATTCTGTGCGTACGACATGCAGTTGTTGATCTGGTTTGTGCGGTTTCGGAGAGGGTCAAATCAGGATTCGGAGTAATGCTGCTTGGGTTTAACAGAAAGGTGACTCTCTGCTTTCGGTTAACTAGACCTTTGCAGACGGGATGAAATGAGAAATGTTTTTAGAGGTGGAGGAGTTGGAGCCTTGTTTCTTTCTTTTTTTGGGTGTGTGGAAATGTCGGTGAGGTTGGACCTGGGTGCAGCCCACATGACTCTCTTTCCATTGGGAACAACAATGGATGTAACTCACCAGTTTTCCAGAAATCAATTCCCTCCTGTCCCCAGTATTTTTTGTTTAATCTTATACCGATGCTGGTGGTTGCAGTGTTGACATCAATACCATGGGCAACAAAAAACCAATGTGCCTGTAGAACAGGCAAATATTCCCATTTACCTGGGTGAAGGAGTTCCTGCTGTGGTGGGAACTGCAGCTGTTGATGTTCAGAGTGAGCAGGTCAGGGCTTTTCTTGCCGAGAAGAAATGTGGGAGATGGGGAACAGTTTAAGCATGTACAGACTGGAGGAGTCCTGTCACAGCCTTGAAGGGCTGAAGTTAGTTTGAGGTTGTTAGTGCGGGTGGAGATGACACAGCTAGGCGTGCTGCAGAGAGCACATCCGTTCCGCAGGGGGTTATTCCTGGTGTTCCTGAGGTTTTGCATAATTTCTCCGAGCTCCTAGTCTGACGTAAAAAACACTATCAGTCTCGTAAGATCGAGTGTTAGGTTTGGTCTCACGTACCCAAGGCCTTAGGGTGAGTTTCTACGCAGCAGACGGTCAAATGTCATTGTACTGATTTTGTCAATGTTGTCCACTTTTACAGATGCCTTTGTAAATAGCCAGGAATGGACACTGAGCCGGTCTGTACCAGAGCTGAAAGTGGTGAGTCTTGATTTTATTCTGTCTCTAAAAAGCATCCCAAAAACGTTATGCACAAGTGAATGTCATCTAAGCATTAAATCTGCTTTTGGGGGGGGAAAAACCTGCAGAAAGCTACTTGATAAGCAAAGCCTTTCTCTTCAGCAGAGCTGTCCTTACGAAGTGTATGTACCTTCTATTTTTATAGTGATGCTTCAAAGATCTGTTTGTGTGTTACCGCTGTTTGGACTTGTTTCGCTACATGAACCAGCTTCCTAGGGTGGTCTTCTCAGTAGGGGCATCGTGCACTTCTGTAAGAGGGGGAAGTGGAAGTTAGTAGGTGATATTTTAAGCTCCTCTTATCTCAGTGTAATGCTTTTCTTTTTTAACTTCCTCAAGGATCAAATGTCTATTTTATTTCCCCGTCTTAAATGAATTTGAAAACTAGTAGTCTAAGGAGTTTATTTGCTTGTATTTTCCAGGGCTGTTTATTATACTGAGTTACAAACCTTCCAAATATTTTTTTATACTGGCTCAAAAAATACAGTTTAGTATCAGGATGAACAGTGATTTGACAGCTGATTTCCCTTGGCTGACACATTTCCTATATTGGTGGAAGAAAAGGTAAAAATAACACAGACTGGGGAAGTTTCCCAAATTTGCTCTTTTAAGCGTTCTGAACACGGAGGCTGGAGATGAGGGCTGAAACCTCCTCGCAGTGAATACCAAACCAAGCACAGCGTTGTGGAGGCCAGGTGACTGTGATGTTCACCATGTAGAAGTCCGGATTTAACTGAACACCAGCAGTTTGTCAAACCCCGTGGAACCTGGGGTGCCCGAGGTGCACTTGGTAACGCCTTTGGTAGGTGCCTCTTGTCTGGCTGTAACTGGATGAGCTGCTCTGATCCAAGCACCTGTTTGCTCTGTGGCAAAGTGAGTTGTGGGGAAAATATAAATCAGAATTGAAGCGTGGCCAGCTGGGGCCATGCTCTACTAGCCCATTTCTCATGTGGTAAATGTCTTTTTTCCGAATCTGAGTTGATAGTAGTGTTTAGGGAGGTGAGAGAGAGTCTAGGTCAAATTTAGCCTGACAGATGCAGTTATGCAAAATGGCATTGTAATGGAAGCAGCTCCCTCCTAACTACAGCTGTGGTTCTGTTTTACTTTCAGCAGTACCCAAGGTGAGTGGATGTAACTGTGTAATACCAGAATGTCCTGCAGTGGGTCACCAGGTTCAGAGTGAGTGATGGTGTCATTTGGAAGACAATTCCCCAAATACATCGTACAAGGAAATGCTAAGAAGTTAAGATTGGAAGGTGTTGGTGGGGTAGGAGTCCAGACCTCTGTGGTAGCAGCCAAATAATGCTATGGGGAATCTGCAGAAGGTTTCCTTGTTCATAGAATCACAGAATGGTTTGGGTTGGAAGGGACCTTAAAGCCCATCTAGTCCCCCCCCCCCTGCCATGGGCAGGCACACCTTCCACTAGACCAGGTTGCTCAAAGCCTCATCCAGCCTGGCCTTGAACACTTCCAGGGATGGGGCATCCACAGCTTCTCTGGGCAACCTGTTCCAGTGCCTCACCACCCTCTCTGGGAAGAACTTCTTCCTGATATCCAATCTAAACCTCCCCACTTTCAATTTAAACCTGTTACCCCTTGTCCTGTCACTACAGGCCCTTGTAAAAAGTCACCCCCGACTTCCTTGTAGGCCGTTCAGATACTGGAGGGTGCTAGAAGGTCTCCCCAGAGCCTTCTCTTCTCCAGGCTGAACAAGCCCAACTCTCCCAGCCTGTCCCCATAGCAGAGGGGCTCCAGCCCTGCAAATTCACAGCCCCCAGCAGCAAGCTCGGGGTTGCGGGGAGACCAAGGCTGTGTGTATTAATACGGAACACAGGCAATTGCCGAGCAGTAGGTAACGGTCTCGGGGTACAGGCACTGCTGTGATACCACGCCTGGGCTATGGGGGTACTTTGGCCATGGGTGTCTTGCCCCCCTGGTGCATGAGTCAGTGGTAGGAAAATAAACTTCTGCTGAGCGGCAGCTGTAGAGAATGGATTTTAAGCGGTCAGCATGCGTGAGCCTCAAGATGACCGTCTAAGGCTTTAGTTTGTGTAATGCTGGATAAAAGCAGAACTCCTACTGTTAAAAAAAATACTGATTTGATTATACCACTGCAAATTATCAGAGCCAACAGCACCAGCTGTGGCTGTGAACTTGTGCTCCAGCAGCAAAGGGCACCTGAGGAGCTCCATCTGAAATCGGCTCTGCCTTGCCTCTGCCCTTGGGAAGGAGTTGGTGCGGTCAGTCAGCTCTGTGTCCATCCCCTCCTTCCGGCCTCGTTGCTGCTGACATCACCGTGCGGTGCGGCAGTGCAGATGGAGAGATGGGGCTCGACCCTGCGAGGGGATGAAGGAGCCGCTTGAGTGGGCTGTACTCAGCAGGAGTGGGGGGTTAGTAGCTCATGGGGAGAGATTTTCTCTGCAGAGGCTGGGCAGTCCTTAAGTTGAGGCTCTTTGTTTTTTTTTTTTTTTTTTTTTTGTAGTGGCTGGTTTTATACTCTTAGGCTCTACAGAAATTAAATGGGAGTAGGAATGGTCTCTGGGAGAGCAGGGAAAGCACACAGGGTTGCAATAAAGAGAAGCTGATGGATGTATTTTCCAACAATCTTTCAAAGGAAGAATACCCATCTTTCTCTCCACCTCCTTTTTTAGCAGTACATGTTGGGCTTGGTTTCTTTCCATGTTTCAGAAACACATTTGTTTCTGCTGATCAGATATTACCACAGTTTTATTTATGGCTCTTGATGGTTCTCTTCTCTTATGGTCGAGAGCATGCTAGGCCAGCCGGGTGAGGCAGTACCTTTCCTGAGCAGTGGCTATATTCCCAAATCCCATTTATCCAAGTGTAAAATAAGGATGTGTTAGGCAGAACAAACAAGATCTTAGGCAAAATCGTTTAAATGGTTCCAAAACATTCTGCGGACATGCCTTCTGTGCTGGATAGCTTCAGAAATCCCACAGGCGGTCAGCCCCCCGGTGCCCTGTTACCAACAGGCTCTAGGATGATGCGCGTAGGGGTTTGCGCTTACCTTGCAGCATGTCTGGCACATGCGGATCAGCTCTGTGTTGTGCCAGTCACAGCTGACAGCGTGGCGTTACAGCCTTGTCAGCTGAATTTCCTCGTTTCTGAACTGGGTTATGGTGGTATTTTTGTTCTGTAACGTGCTTGTCATAACTTTGTGTGTTTCATGTGTATCCGTAAATAAACAGAAAGGACTCAGATCGTGTGTGTGTATAAAATATGGGAGACGGGAATAGGACTCCTGAAAACAAGCTGGCATGTTTGCCATACTGTGGCGGATCATCCCTGAAACAAGCATTAATTCTGCCTAGAAGAGGAATTGTGTTAGCGGTCAGATTTCAATGTATTGCCCCTGGTTCTCAGAGGTCAGCAGTGGGCAGAGACCCGGGGCAGTGTCGTACTGAACAACTCGGTACCGGCTCTGCTGGGTTCTGACGTACTGGTTTCCTGTCTGGTAGAAGGGAGATGTCTGCCTGGTCTCTGCAAGTGCAGGCACTGAGGTGAGATCTTCAGGAATGCTCTGTCCAACCAGATGAGGAGGAGAGAAATGTCTCTGGTAATGTGTTCTGCAGGGCTTCTCTGGGGAGAAAACAAGGCCGTGCTGCAAATGCAGATTTTCTAGTCAGGTAAATAAAAGGAGAAGGATAGAGGAAATACACTGCCTTTCCCTGAGGGTGGTATGTGGGTTTTAATAGCATATTGTAAAGGAAGAAGGCCTTATTTCTACTGCATGAATTAGTGCTGGGTTCTCATGATGGAAATACACACCCTACGGAAAGCGCTGATGAGGAGGAGCATTGGCCTGTAGCATAATGTTTAATAATGCTCTTCTGGCCAGGCACCTTCCTCTTTCTGGGCGCCTTTATGGAAGAACGCACCGGACGCCTGGAGGTGCTGTAGAAGTCCGTATGGTGGTGTAGTGTTTGGGATAGAGGAAAAAAAGATAATATAAAAATTATATTCTCTAATCACTAGGTGTCTTCAAAATATCTGGGGTCTCTGACTAACCACAGGAACACGTCCCAGCCTTGGGCAAAGGACCAGCATGTTCCTTCTCTCTTGAACATCAGTTGGTGGCTTTCACTTGTTCCATCAGTTTTCCCCTCTGACTCGTTACGGTTTTGGCACTGGTATAATATAAAATAGCCTTAACTTGTGTACATGCAAGACTAGAAGGTTTAAACACCTGTTGTAAAGGTGTTGCATGACTAGTTATCTCCTGGTCTAACAGAGGTTTTTGGTGGATGCATTGCTGTGACACTGGCTTACTACACTTTTCCACAGGTCTAGAGCTATTGCTTCTAAAGTGTGAACATAAAACTCTTCTGTCAGTATTTTCCTAGCAAGCCCGTGTGATGTGATCTTGCTTTCCAGTTCTTCAGAAAGGGCCTGTTTTGGTCACAGGATACATTCTATTACTTCTGCCTGGTTTTAAAAACAAATGCTAGCTAACCAGCTGAACAGACCAGCATGTGTGCTTGAAGGCAGAGCACTTCTCTTTGACTGTCAGCTGTTGGGACATGGGCAGTTTGAGCTGTAACTGTCTCGGTAAAGGGACTTGGAGTCGTAGTGGACATGTCTGTGTGTCTACAGCCTGTAGTATACATGGCTGTAGTCTGTGTGTCTACAGCCATGCATATCGCGTGTGCGTCAGCCGCCAGTTAGCATGAATCACACCGTGGGCAGCCTACAGAGAGATTTTCCGGTGTGAGGGTGTAGTGATGTGTTCATATTTTTCAGCAGGGAGGTGACAAGTTTTCTCTGAGCTTCAGGCTTCTTCCGTGAGGTCTGTGTGTTGCCTCATGTTCACTCTTAGCATCAGGGGCAGGATGAATAAAGGAGCTCTGCTAACATAAACTGATTTTGGTGTATACGTCTTGTCACGTTTATGCTCCACTGTAGCTCTAGCTTTGTGGCATTTACTTTATCTGTTGGCGTATTTTGGAGCATTTCTACTGTCTGGGCTTTCTCCTCGGGTGCAGAGAAGTTATTTCTTCATTACAACTTTGCTTGAATATACTGGGTTTTGCAGCGATTAATTGCAGTTGAACCTTTTCCTTTTGTTTTCCAGGGGATTGTGGGTAACCTAGCGAGTGGCAAATCTGCGCTTGTACACCGCTATCTGACTGGCACGTATGTCCAAGAGGAATCACCCGAAGGTAGGTGGAGTTGCACATTTCACTTCTTTTTTTTTTTCCCCTTCCACCACTCCCCAGACCACATCTTTATTCATTTTTAATCATGCAGAAATGAATCAGTAAAGAAGCTGATTTGCCATTTGAATGTTCTTGGAGATTTTTTTCTTTTAACGTTCTCCAGAGTGAGATAACAGTCTGCCATGGGTATAACTTTAGCTTTTCATAACTACTTAGCATCCTGAAGTACTTTGGCATCTACTGTGTGTCCGTATGGGAAACTGAGTCCTGTAATGAGAAGAGATGAATGCTTTCAGCGTGGCCGTTGAAAGCCACAGCTACTCTATCTAGTACCGGGTTTCTGCAGAACGGGGCCCTTTGGTTTGTGATGTTGGGAGAATAAAATAAAATTCACAAGCCTGAACTAAATGTGTAACTTGTTCCTTGTTTAATGTATTAAATCTTGGCTCTTTATTTTCTTTTTTAAATGTTCTTATGCCACAGAAAACTTACTTTATACCTGAAAACGTTGTGGTCTTTAACATGAATCCAAATTTATAGCTTGAAATCAAAAATATCATCATACCTTATGGAGGTGTATTATACACTAAATACTCTTTTGATTTTTTTTTGTTTGTTTTTATCTGTGCTCCTTATGAACTTTTAAATCCAACTCTGAGACACTGAATTTCTGGTTCCTTCTTTTCCTTACTGGCTGTTCCATTCTTTGCAGATATGGATGCAGGTAACTATACATTGTCTCCATGGCAGCTCTTGTTTTGAAGAGACAGACGGCAGTTTCTGTACTATAGCGTTTTTCCCTTTGTTTTGTGTATCATCTTGATTTGTTTTGTTTTGATTTCAAGTCTTTAGTGCATCTCAGTGTTTGTCTCTTGCTGTAGTTGTCTTTTCAGCAGTAGTTTGTAGTTTCATGCATCTACGATAACATTTGTTTCAGATTAATAGCTTCCTCTGCTAAGAGTTAAGCATAGTACTTGACATTTTAACAATCTTGAATTGTAGTTAAAATGGGAGGAGAGGAAAGGGAGGGATGGAGAAGGCTTTTTCTCGGGTAATTGCAGTAACAGTTAAGTCTTCCAGTTTATAAGCTTGCCTTAAATATTTCTGCTGCCTTGTAGCTTGGACTGATGGGGTGATAATTGAGCCTTGCAACACAGCGGCGTGTAGGTCACATCTATGCCTGCTGCTGCTGGATGCTAAGAAGGAGAACTGGTTATGTAGGATGTAGATCCACTGAATACAAGTCTTCAGCAAAAATGAGTATCTCTATGGATCTCTTTCCTCATTGTCTGAGCAGAAAATATTTTGGGGTTCTTTGTGCAAGAGTCACACGTATCGATCGTTGACAGGGTTAACGCTCCTCCTGAACTATGAATATTTTAGATGGTGTTCCTTGAGAGTGTTGCCATCTGTCCTCTTTGTCTTCAAGGATTTTTATTTGCAGTGCTTGAGTGATGTTCTGACTGTTTCTCCTGAAAGGATTAGATTACAAAAGCAGTGTCAAATCATTTCTTTGCACGTAAGTGTAGCTGACAAGCCTCGCTAATGACCCCATTCCATTTCATTAACGGTAGAAAAACTGGAATAATTAAGAGCTCTGATTCACCTTGTAAAGGATAGGGGCAAGATTTCTAATCAAGTTAGTATTAAAGGAAATTCAACCCATATAAGCCATCCTTAGTAAACATCTGTAGTAGGGATTTTAGTCTTTTTTTTTTCTCATCCAAGCAAAGTCCGTACGCTGGCGTTGGGTAGAAAATACAGCAGCGGTGCAGCTGGTTCTGTTGCGCTGGGCTGTGGGACTTTGGGTTTTTCCATTCGGCATGGGAGCACAGCTTTTGATAAATCCTGACCAAGTGTAAGCCTTGCTGTTGGAGACCAGTGCGGATCTTCCTCTTTCCTCGGGTATTGTCAGTGTGCCGTGCGGTCAAAGTGGATGAAGAATAGTATGTATAGCAGATATTATGGTGTCAGATGCTTCATCATTTAAGGAAAAGAACAGATTTACTGGCTTTGAATGGGTTATTAACAGCAAAATTTATTGGGCATCATGCGATTAGTATCTCATGGGTAAAATGATGGATGCTTACTTGATGTGAAATGGATGACTGGGACCAGGGACCACTATTTCTGCTATCCTTTGCCTTCTACACTGCTACACTTGCCATGAAACCTGCCCTGAGTAAGACAAGTGCCAGTCTCCTGCAGGCCTTTAAGGTAGCTTCAACAGTCCAGTAAATAAAGTGTGTAAGGATGGTTCTGTGTTTCCTTTAGCTCTTTTCTTTAAGATGAGGTATTTCTCTTGCTGCCTGACACCACCTCCCTGCCAAGAGGAGGAATAGTAGCACGTTAAGTGTAAAGCAGTTTCCTCTCATTGTCTAGCCCAGATTTTATTTCTGTTGAGAGTTCATTTTAGTCTCTAGTTGGATTGTGACGTGAAAAGCTCTGTTTGCTTGAAGAATACATTTGTCTTGGGAAGAAAACGGACTTTTAGACTCTTTCCATGTTTAACCTGCACATAGCTCTGCTCCTGGGGCACGTGATTAAATCGGATGCATTTTGATGCAAGAAAAGAAATGATGTATTACCATATAACCAAGCGGGAATCTCGGTAGTGTGGGACTTAACAGTTAGTTTTTCTGTACTGATACGACAAGGAAGTTCTGAGCGATAGGACGTTTTAGTGATTTGTGATCATCCAATTGCTTGGAAGGTCCTTAGAAGAGTAACTCCTGCTAAGCAGTGTGCTGGGTGTTTTTTACATAGCTGGAGGAGCAATAAGGTGCGTGCAACCTGGTGTCTTTTTCACCTCTCTAAAACTTAATTCTACCTGCAGGCAGAAAAAGAAGGATGGTGTGCATGGAACTTTAGACAAGTACTTTGCAGAGCAAGGTGAAATTTACAGGAATAGTGAGTGTCAGGAGTGTTCTGTTACTCTTTGGGTTTTGTTTCCATATTGTTTCCATATGGAAACTGTTTCCATATCGTGCTACTTCAGCACGGCGTAATTATGCAAGGACTATTGGGGGGGACCTCTTTAAGCTGCTTTTGTTCAGCATCCCCTCATGAGATTTTTGTCTGGCCATAGACTCTTAAAAAATGTGTCTACACAGAGTTCAAGCACAGTCTGTTAGCCTAGATCGCCTTCCAGTTGGCTTCGTTCATGGAAAAGGTCTAATGCTTCAGTTGCTGGGCTCCGAGTTGAAACCAAGAATGGAGCTTGTTCTCCTGGAAAAAAACAAAAAGGATGTTTCTTCTGTGCTTGCATCATGTTAAGTTAAGCGTTCAGACAGGCAAGGCAGGAAAGAAATACCGTGTTTTAACATTCCTTATGCCTGGGAGATTCAACAGTGAAATGGGGATCACAGTTTGGTGATTCAGGCTGACTGGAACATGGAGCTGCAGCAGAATTGGACAACCCTTGTCTTCTGTAAGATGGTCATTCTTGTCCCCTTCTTCCCATGATTCATGTGCCGGCTAAAAATGTGGTTCTTCCTTCTGTGAACAGTTAGGTTCCAAAGGTTGCAGGTCTCTCCAGGGAAGCCATTAGCTATTTTGATGTAGCTAATTATTTTCAAAATATGTAGGAATCTGGAAGCCATATTTACTGAACAACTGAATTTTTGTCTTCCATGAGTAAAAGGAGCGGGTCTGTCCCAGGCTCATCTGTGTGTTCTGTTGGTGAGCCAGCTGGCTGAAATGTGAATGAACAGCAGAGAAACTCATCCTCTGAGTATGTGCTTACATGCTTTTCTTTGAAGGTTAGACTTCCATACTTCTTCACTCATGGCTTCCAGGAATAAAATCATCATTATCCATATAAGTATCTACACATAGCTTATTTGGGGGAGATTTCAGGAGAATTCCAAGTGCATACGAGTTCAAAAAAGCAGCATTAACTGTAAAGTCCAGTTCCTTTCAAGGAGCCGGATATTGCATCCGTTCCAGCGCTCGGCCCACAAAGCACTGGGGAGCCGAAATCCTCCCCGCCAAAGTCACGTCCTCGGTGCCCTGGTCCAGGAGCTTCACACAGCGCTTTGGGGCAGCAGGGGCTGTCGGAATACTTGGTTTTGTCTGTGCAAACGCAGACAAATGCTGTGTTGTGGGTGGGAGACCACGGTGCCTTTCCACACGTGTTTCGGAATCGCCTCCTTTCAGTTCTTTGTCTTCTGTTAGGGTACTATCAGCTGATTATTCCTATTTGGCATTTCATGCTGCCATTCAGATAGCAGATAACACTTGTCTCTTTTGATCACTTTAAAGTATTGCTGGGGTTGGCTCTCTTGGGCTTCGGGAGCCTTTCAGGCTTAGCATAAAAGAGCGTGCTTATGTATTCTGCAACCTCCCCTCATCCCGCTCCTCATCCCCCCGAGACTGGCTGTGTGGGTTAGCCAATTCTTTGAAAAACCTCTCTGTTCTAGCTGTCAAGTTGGCTACTGTTTCAAGTGTTGCACAAATAAGGAACTACCTTAATTAAAGGAAGAAGTGAAATACTTGCTCTTTTCCTGGTGTGAAGATGCTGAAGAAGCAGTTTCCTGGAAGAGACTTCCCTTTTTGGTTGTGTGCCATGAGGGTCAACTGATCTTTAAGATGTTTTCAGTGTGTGCACCTCGAATACCCAAAGGTTCTGGTGCCTGATGTCTGTAGGATTTGTGCCCGTCTCCTAACAGGCTGCTCTGAAGGTTGCTCCCCAGGTACCACCTGTAGTTTGGATTTATTCCAGGCTGGACGCGGCCTTGAGCAACCTGGTCAAGGCTCCACACTGAACCAGTTTGGAGTTTTGGAGTTTTGTTGCTGGAAGAAGGGCCTGCCTTGCACTTTCTTTTTCCAATATTACTTCTGGTTGTATTTCTAAATCATAGCCCAGTGTTCAGCTCTCAATCTTGAAGCTGAATTTAAACACCTTCTTTAAACATGTTCCTTTTTCAGCTTGAACTTTCTTATTGTTTTTTTTTCCACTTCCAGTTAATCTTCCCTTGTTTTGGAGGGTTGAATGACAAAGC